GCACGGGAACTTGGTTTTTATTTATTTGTACAAATACTCTTCATACTTGGAATAATTATTCTTTTATTAGCTGTGGTGAGCTCATGTTTCCCTATTATTCTGGGCTCCTTTTTATTTGGTTTATAACATTCTATTTTGCAAATTAAAAACCAAAAAGTTTTATGAGTAAGTCAAAACTATCCATTTTGCTTTTCTTTTACACAACCTGAAAAATAAATATGTATATGTGAACACACATTTATTTATATTGCTTATTCTAACTTTTAAATCTTTTTAGTTTTTTATCTTTGAGAAATTTATTGCAGTAATGGCTCAATATGCAGACATAAAGCAGTTCTTTTTTAAGTTAAATTCTTTATTGTTTAAAGTATTACATAAGTCTCCTTTTTCCCCCATTTACCTCTCCCCAGCCGCTCCCACCCCGTAGCACATGCCCTCATAAAGCAATTTTTTTTACAGAGAGGAAGGGAGAGAGAGATAGAGAGTTAGAAACATCGATGAGAGAGAAACATCAATCAGCTGCCTCCTGCACAACTCCTACTGGGGATGTGCCCACAACCCAGGTACATGTCCTTGACCGGAATCGAACCTGGGACCTTTCAGTCCACAGACCGACGCTCTATCCACTGAGCCAAACCAGTTTCGGCATAAAGCAATTTTTTATAGTCACATTTAACTATTATTTGTTAAGTAAGGAGTTATTGTCCAACTAGAAATACATTTTTAAACATAAGTTTTTTTATATAAACCATAAAGCATATCCTAAAATATCAGATTCAGTGGTGAACTTAAGTTTATACTATAGTACTTTTGTTTTTCAAAATTAAAATTAATACTTTTTATCTTAACCTGCAAAGTATCAGAAACCCTGAGCCCACTCAGAAAAGTCCATCTTTCATATCATTTTTTAAAAGTAGAAACTGTCTTTACATAGGCATCCACAAGAACCTGAAAGAATTCTAGTTGCTCATTGGTTTTTATGGTGGCATTCACCTATTTTATTAAAAAAAAGAACTTTAGTTACCTTAAGGTTTGAGAAAATTTAATTGATCAGAAAGTGATGTCAATCACCCTAAAACTAGAGAGTATTCCTAAAGCAAAATAAATAGCAATAGCAAAACAGTAATTTTTTAAAACCACTTGGAATGTAGTCACAATTTCCAAGCAAATAAGGAAACAAAAATTCAAATTATTCTTTTAGGCCAATCTCCTAGAATACAACTTTTGATAAATTGTACTTTTAGAATATTTTAAAAATTCAATGCAAGACAAGTTCTACCTCTCATATGGGATCTTCAGGTAGCCTGAGCACATGTCTTCTATCTTCTTTCACCCTTCTTTTTTTCAGCCACTTCTCAGGACTTCTCAATCTGGCTACATTTCCCCGGCTCACCCCAGCTGGCTCACACTAACTCTCTCTGTGCCTGCTTTTCTGCATTTCTTCACCACATCTTGTCCCACTCTCTTCCCCAAGCCATGTCTGTTTTCTCCTGAGCATTTGGCACAATGCCTGCCTGGCATATGAGAGGAGAGGCAGGGCAGGGTGTGGTGAAGCCCAGAGCTTTGGAGGAAGCAGGCTGGTCTGTAGTTTCTATAAACCATAACGTGTATCCTAACTTGCTCATAGAGAACGTCTGCCTTTCTCACAAGGTCGTTGTGAGGGTTGGCAGTTTCTGGGATGTGATGCATGTTGTTAATTACAAGCTCGCAACAGGAGTTTATCAATTGAGTCAATTCGCTCTCACCTTTCCCTTCGTTGTCCTCGATTTGGTATTACCAACATCTTCATTCGTTACACCACACAAGCAGAGGAAAGTCGGCCTGGCACAGCATTATGGCCAGTTCTGTATCTTACATCCACGTCACCAAGCTCCTCTCTCCCCTCTGTGATCTGATTTCCTTGTTGGATATGTCAGCATCTGACACATTTTACACCTCCACTCTACCCTACTGCTCTCTCCAGTCCCAATGGTCTTCAAGTTCATCAAACTTGGAACCACCAAGCCTTAGGAATTCCCCGCTGGTTCCTTGCCTAGAAGATGAGTATACAAGGTCCATTACATTAATGTTTCTACTTTGTGTATGTTCAAAAATTCCATAAGAATTTTAAATAACAGTTACTTAACAAATAATAACATCATTCTATGCCCATGTTATATGACCCCAAATAAAATGTTTTTCACTTCTGTCACTACCAATCTTGGTCATAAATGATATTGATAATGAATTTTTGTACATATTGAATGGGTTTAATTTTTTCTACTAGATATGTATACATATGTAGCGTATATATAGATACATACCTGCATTCATACATACATAGATAAAACATGATTATTAAAATTAATGTTGAATGACCGAAAGCTAAGAAATAAGTGCGATCTGTACATTGCTATTGTGTAAATAAAAAGAAAAATAAACCTTTAGAAAGACAATTTCAGAAGATCCAGGTATGTGTCACTAGACATTAAATTATTGATACACATAAATTACATTTATTGGAATCTCTTTTAAAGGGGGGAATTCTAATGGCAGGAGAGGTTTTATATAAGAAGATGGTCAATAGAACTTCCTTTTTTCATAATAGCATAAAACATTTGAAATCCCTTTGTGACGAACCATAGGGAGATAGCTGGATAAGCATCAGTATATTCATTGTACCTAATAATAGACAAACATGTAAATTGACTATCCCTCCACTACACTCACCAGCCAATCAGGAGAGTATGCAAATTAACCCAACAAAGATGGCGGTTAATTTGCATACATAGACATGAAGTGGTGGAGTGAAGACTGAAGGCTCTTCCCGGAGCGAAGGCCTGGGTCCCGGGTGCCGGAGGAAAACCAGTGCTGGCAGCCAGGGGAAGGGAAGACCTATTGCATGAATCTCTTCGTGCAATGGGCCTCTAGTCTAATATAATCATTAAGACGGAAATTCTGCAAATTGTAATTCTATAGTAGTAAAAAAAGACAAAATTTGATTCATAGTAAGAATGTAACAATGAAAAATATGTACTGAAAAAGAAATTGTATCTGTTAGGGTGGCGATATGATCAGTGTCTTATTTCTTCTTTTTTCTCCTATTTTCATTTTTTTCAATGGAAATGAATATGTAGACATTATGGCAGTGGAATTCCCAAGGTTGTTTCTTCTCTAAAGTGGTATGGGCCTTGTGACTTAGTGAAGGTACTTTTAATTCATAGGGAGCTAAATTTTTTGAGGGGTAAATAGACACAAGAGGAATGAGTGATATTGCAGAGTCTAAAGTAATCCAACCGCAGTTGTATCTTTCTTCCCAGTGTTGCTTCTATAGCATTTCTAACTGTTGAAATGTTCACCAGAAAAAAAAAAGTGCACCAATCACCCCACTGCATCTTTGCCCCAACGAAGCAGAACTTGGCAACAGAGCTGAAACCCCTTATCCACTGATTGTCTTATCCAGGACTTTTATTACACTTGGAACATCAAAAATCAAAGTGGTTTCCAAGGGATGTATTAAACTGAATGGTAGCTGTGTCATTATTTCACCAACTGGGAACTTGAAGCAGAGCTACTTCCCACGGCATCGGTTTGAACATGTGAAATTAAAGCATGTTAAGAGGAATGGGACCATACATGATGGTATGCTGTGCAGGGACCCTCATACTACAGCCCTTCCCACCCCAGACCCTCGTTTTTTTTTCAGCAGTGTCCTCTCCGTGGCGTTAGCCTTGGGTCTGCGCTGCTCGTATTAGTGAGGAGGAGTAATCATCTTGCTAATCAGTTATAATAATGACTGACTGCTACCATTTGGGGCAATTAAAAGGCTAAATGAGAAAAGGAAGAAAACAGACGCACAACACTCTTTTGGAGTACTATGCTTTATGTTGTCTGTTTCAGATGATTTTTTTGCTCTCCGTTATGTTTTCTCTATGCTTATGGGACATTCAGGTTAAAAATCCTATGTCCTTGAGCCATACGTTATCTAAAGCCTGCTCATGTGTAGGTCACTCTGTTGGACATACGTGTCATAGATAATTGGGGGAGGGGCTGGCAGAGGGTCCTTTGTCACCATATATCATTGTGGATCAAGTTACAGCCTTGGGAAGGCAGAGCAAAAGGATTGTGTTTCCACATTTAACCTTGGAGTCATTTCGCTGTTTCATTACTAGGAGTGAGTCATCTTGCTTGCAGTTGTAAGCCGGATAATTGCTTTGCTAGTTTCTGTGTTCTGACCAAGCATCACGTAAGAGTCTTCCATCTGGGCATTTGCTCATTTTACTAGAACAGCCTTCAGTCCCCTTTAAAATTTTATTTTATTTCAGTGTCTAGTTATGGTGGACTCCCCCGGGCTAGGATGAAATCACACTGGGGGTGGGGGGGGTGATTTGACAAATGGCCACTGTGCAGAGCCTTTGATCCTCCCCATGGTGTTAACTGGCTGCCCCTTGCTTTGCTGAGCTGCAAGCCAGATCAGAGCCTGCCCACCCACAGGACCAGCAAGCACGGGTGAGCTCTGGAGAACTCAGGCACTTCCCGCATTCTGGCTGCTGTGGCCTTTCAGAGGGAATTTGGGCAGACGCAGTGAGAAGACAGGATGTTTTTTTCCTAGGCGGGAGTACCATGCTCCTGGCACTTGTTGCGTGACATGGAGCCCTTTATTCCCTGAAGTAGGAATTCCTAACCCTGGTTTTCCAGGCTCTGAGGTCTGCTCAGTATTTCCAAGTTTCCAAGATTATGAAGAAAAATCAATTTTTATTCACTTTCATTAAAAAAAAATAAAGAGAGACAAAATATGGTGGATTGTGGTTAGAAAGATGGAGAGAGAAGAAGCAACTGACTAAAGATCATTGGAAACTGTTGTGCTGGTGGTTAGATGGCACATCTCTAAAAATAAAGTAAATGTCTCAAAAGCAAAAGAACAAGTGCAGATGTTGATACAGATGGAGACTCAGTTAGACCCTGGATGTCACCCTTCGCGGAGGCAGGCGTTGTCTAACGGCACTTCCTCTCCCTGGCAGATGGGGAGCTCTCCATATCCAATGAGGAGGACTCCCTGGAAAACGGACAGTCCCTGAGCGCCAGCCAGCTGTCCCTGCCCGCCCTGTCCGAAATGGAGCCGGTCCCGATGCCCAGAGACCCCTGCTCATACGAGGTGCTCCAACCTTCAGACATCATGGATGGGACAGGTAATGGCCCTGGGAGAGTTCACCACAGGCCCAGCAGGGGGCATTAAGGCTCTCTGGCCTGACTGGACTTGGGGTTTCATTGTCCACCACCCCACGCGTTAGAATTCTAGAAATAGGGATGCAACTGACCAACCAGTACATGCTGAGTATAAAAATTGGGACGATATTCAGTTATTATTCTAGATTTTAAAAATATTTTTATACCTTTAATATCTTTAAAGTGACATACCCTGTTTTTGTACTATTGATTATGTAAAATGTCATTGTTTTGTTTTCTAACACTCATTTCTGTTAAGATCAAGCTAAAGAACCCTGCACTTCTCTCTGGTTCCTATCTAACTCACCTGTCTGCTTGCCCTGGCATTTCCTTTCATCCTAGCCCCAGTTACCAATTAATGGTTGTATCAATTTAGCAAGTTGTACCAATTTACGGTATACAGTCAGTGTGTTCATTGGCCGTTACATTGTTTACCATTTGCTTGTTAACTTGTATCCTATCAACAGATGATTTTGACGCCATCTAACTACTGCTCCCTCTCTGGTCCAAAGCCCTCTGAGCGGCCAATACTCATTCCCTCCTGGGACCCTCCCCAAGCCAGTGAGGATGGTTGTCAGGAGTCGCGCCTGGGGAAGGGACCTCTTGGAAGATCTGGCGTGGGTAGAGAGGCACGACCTTTCCCCACACCAGGTGCACAGTCTCCTCAGCAGAGCGCAGGTGGGAGGGTGGCAGAGATGGTGTCTCTCAGAGTCAGGTCCCGGGCTTCACTGTGGGCCCAGGTGTGTCCCACGCTGATAACAGTGTCCCTTGGGACAAGGAGCATTGAGCATCAGGGGGTTATTGCCAGAGCTTGGGTGCTGCAGGGAACACTGCTACCCAGGTCAGAGAGGAAGAAGGCGCGGAGAGGAGTCCCTTCTGGGCATTCTTACTGTAGCAGCGATGGGAGGAAGGATACAGGCAGCTGAGTTGCATCCCCCGTCCCGCAAGCTGGGGCGATTTTCCCAGCTGAAGCAGTGAATTGTGTTTTTATTCACCCTTCCCTGTAACATTGATCAGATGGCTTTGATGGGCATGGTGAGGTCTGACATCCAGTGGAGCCACAGTTTCAGACTGTCATCTGCCAGGAGGCCTGTGCCTCTGCCCAAAACAGCTCCTCACTGGAGCCAGTCGGGGCAAAGGAAGAGTCAGGCCAGTGCAGAGCAAAGAGAAATGGGGCGAGCCCTAGCTGGTTTGGCTCAGTAGATAGAGCATTGGCCTGCAGACCAAAGTTCAAGGGCACGTCTCTTGGCTGCAGGCTCCTCCCCAGCTGCAGGCCCTGGTGCAGCTCGTTCAGGAGGCAACCAATCGATGTGTTTTTCTGTCTTTCCCTCTCTCTTCCACTCTCCCTAAAAATCAATGTAAAAATATCCTCAGGCAAGGATTAACCAAAAAAGGGGGGGGCCCAGGTGGAGAGAGAAAGAAATGGGGCAAATCAAAACAAGAAAACCATAATTCAGGCCAGTAAGAGGAGAGAGGGAGGCGGGAGACAAAAAGGTGTTGAGGAGCATCCTTTACCTGGCTGAGGTTTATAGGAGCCGCAGGGGCAGGGAGGTGCCTGTAAAAGGCAGGGCCCACTAGAGGCTGCACCAGCTCAGGGGGCTCCAGAGCAGCCACCGCCCATGTGTAGGCCGCCCCCCTAGTTCAAACTCTAGGCCAGTGGTCGGCAAGCTCATTAGTCAACAGAGCCAAATATCAACAGTACGATTAAAATTTCTTTTGAGAGCCAAATTGTTTAAACCTAAACTATATAGGTAGGTGCATTGTTATTAACTTAATTAGGGTACTCCTAAGGCTTAGGAAGAGCCACACTCAAGGGCCCAAAGAGCCTCATGTGGCTTGCGAGCCGCAGTTTGCCGACCACGGCTCTAGGCTGTCTTCATTACCTGGTGTCCCAGACCTGGGAGCAAGGACGAGACCCAGCGGGCAAAAACAAGAACCCCCTCTCTCTCCCTGCCTAGCACAGGGCAGCGGGCCCCAAGGGGGGTGCTGGTGTTTGGTGCTGGTTCGGATCAGAGGAGGCACTTCATCCCCGATGCATTACCCTGCCGTCTGTGGGTCGTCACATTCTAGAGCATCCACAGAGTCAGCATTATAACCGCCGAGATGGACGTGACAGCGTTTTGAGAAAATGCCTTCTTCCTTTTTCTCCCTCTTGATCCTTCCCCCTCTCCCTTTCCTGCCTCTGCCTCTGCCTCCCCAACTGTGCCCGGAGAGGGGTTTCCAGCATCCTCTCTAGCTCCTCACACTCTCAGGACCGCCTGGAGGAGCCGGAGTGCTGCCTGTGGCTGCCTCGCCCCTGTCCTGTGTGCTCGCCAGCCCCACGCACTGCATCTGTGTAATGTCTCCTGTGTGTCCTGTGGTTGTCCCCTCAGTGTCTGAAGAGAGTCCCTCTGCCAGTGAGTCTGGAGTCCTCCTGTCCCAAGATCCTTCAGCCAAACCAGTCCTGCTACTGCCCCCCAAAAAACCTGCTGCTTTCTCTGGAGACCATGAGGAGACCCCAGTGAAGCAGCTGTCCCTCCTCAAGCAGCCCCCCGCCCTGCCTCCCAAACCCACAGCCAGGATTGCCAACCACTTGACAGGTGAGTGAAGACGTCTCTGGGGGCGCCGCCCCCCACCCCCTTCCCTTCAAGGGAAACCTCTGCTCTTCCTTTTCACCTGAAGCCCGTGCACCGCCTCGGGGAGGCCGCTCCGTGGGACTGTGGGACGTGTGGGTGTTTCCATGTGTGTCTTGGTACACGCAGTCATGCCTGGGTTTGTGTCTTTGTGTCAAGAAATATTCGATATACACCTACCAGTCATGTGCCAAGAGCCTTCAGTCATGTGTATCTGTCAACGTGCACATCGGCATCCATGTGAGTAATTCAAGGCCACCTGCCCATCTAGGTGGGCCAGGTTCCATGTCAGAGTCCTTGCAAAGATAAAGAGTAGCACCTTGTTCCCTTCATAATGAGTTTGCCAAAGCTTTAAAATTTTGTCTTTAAATTATTGATGTAAAGGCCAGTATATTTCTTTTATTAAAATTTATATCTGTGCTGTTCTCTTAAAAATAGAAAAAAACAAATAAGCACCGGCTAAGTAAGTGGTTTGACCTATGAACCAGGAGGTCAGGGTTCGGTTCCAGGTTGCCCGGAATCCATGCCCAGTAGGGGGCTTGCAGGAAGGAGGCAGCTGATCAATGATTCTCTCTCATCATTGATGTTTCTATCTCTTTCTGTTTTCCTCTGAAATCAATAAAAAAAAAACCTTTTTTTTACTTTTTAAAAAGCAAAGACAATATCTGTAAAGTATTGTGAGAAATACTTTTAAAAGAAGAGTAAGCTTAGGAATGTTGTTCTAAAATGATTCTTGCATTTTCATTTTTTCATTTTTAAATTGTTGCTTAACTGATGTGCTCACGATATTAAATCAGCTGTCCAGTAAATTGCCCTTCCTTGCACATTAGCACGTGAATCGGATACCCCTGGGATTCGAGCCTGTGGTATATCAGAGACTAAAGATTTCAGAGGGTTGTCCTCCAGCCTTGATCATAATCCCACCCGATGCTGATCAACTGCCTTTTTACAGCGTCTTTGGTATTCTTATCGTTTCTATTTATCTCCGTACATTTTTGTAAGATGGAATGGGGATAGAGGTTGGGAAGAATAGACACTTATTTTATAATAGAAAATTGAAGTTCAAGAAAATGAGTGCCGTTTTCCAGGGTGGGCAAGAATTCTGCTGTAGAGCCACGATTAGATCCTGTGTTTCCCGATGCCTAGTTCAGTGAATGTTGTTCCAGGATCGTGGGATTCTCTCATGTGGTGCTGGGTTTTATTAGAGTCCAACCTAAACATGGAGCTGTGTCAAACTCCTCCATCAACGTATGCATCCATCCCTGCAGATGTTTGTGGTTTAAAAGGGCAAATTTCCATGTATACCATTCAATTCATTAATAACACTTTCGTTCAGTGCCCCAAAGTTTAAATGCATAGAAAACCAGAAGGATAAAATGCTCACAGAAGAGAGCCTCCTTCCAAGAGAGCACCCGGTCCATCTATCTATCATATCCATCTATCTATTATCTATCTATCATCTATCTATCATATCTATCTATCACATCTATCTATCATCGATCTATCTATCTATCGTATCTACCTATCATATCTATGATCTACCTATCATCTATCATCTATCTATGATCTATCTATCATATATATCTATATCCTATCTATGATCTATCATCTATCTATCTATCTATGATCTATCATATCTATCTATGATCTATCTATCATATACCTGTCTATCTAAAATATTGCTGTACAGTCTTCTATCACTGCTCTGTGCACTCAGTGATATACCGTGGACTGATTCCCATGTTAGTGAAGATGCACATGATTTTCTTGGCTGCTTGGTCTAAGTCAGGATTTACTTGATTGCCCTCTTATGGGCTTTCCATCTTCTCCTTGTGAAAAGCACAATAGCAAACATCCTCAACATCATATGTTTTTCTTTACAAGCATGTTCGAGTCTTCCCTACTTTATTTCTAAAATTAGAATTGCTTGGTTATATATACAGTGGATTCTTGAACAATGCATGGGTGTGGGGTGCTGGCCCCCCATGCAGTTGAGAATCCACATTTAACTTTTGACTCCCTAAAAACTTAAGCTGCCCCTCAGCCTCTGGGGGTATTGGTCCCAGGACCCCTGCGGATACAAAATTCCGAGGATGCTGAAGTCCCCAACGTAGAACAATGCATGCAGTCAGCCCTCCGTGTCCACAGGCTCCCAACTGTGAATCAAAAATTACTTATTGAAAATATCTGCATATAATGGAGCCACACAGTTCAAACCTCTGTTGTCCAAGGGTCAAATATATATTTTAAAAAATAGGGTGGCAAAATCACTACTGTCAAGAGTGGTCCTTGTAGTTCAGTGCATGCCATCTGATGAAAGGTTACTGGACAAGGCTGAGGCTTGAGCTGACCTTTGGAGCATGAAGGGCACCTACAGAGAATGAGGGAAGAGTATTCCAGGAAGGAAGACCCTGGATAAAGACTCAGAGGGACCAACATCCGGGTCAGTGACCAGGTGGCTGAGCCAAGGCGGGCCCATCTCAGGATGTACTGAGAGAGGGGTCACCAGGGAAGGCATTCGAGGATTTAGATTGTATGCCTGTGTCGGTGGAAAGCCGGTAGAGGTTTTTGAGCAGGGCAGTGCTATGACTAAAACTAGCCTTTACAGAAGTTTCCTGGGTCACTGTGTAGACTGAACAGAAAGAAGACAAGGTGGAGGACCTGACAGAGAAGCCACCGAGGCCAGACCTATGCCTCGTTCTCCAAAATCACTGGTTGAGTTAAGTCAAACAGCTTGAGCCTATTTAAGAGGCTCCTCCAGTTGTTGAAATGTGAGTTAACAAGCATCTGGCTGATAGCAGTGGGAAGAGAGAGACCAGAACATTAGATAAGACATTTTAAAGAAGAATTGACAGAATTTCTTAGCCAGCAGCACCCTTTAATTTATCTAATTACTGAGGGCACACTCCATCCATGCATAGCTTCGGCTCTGAGCCCTGAACTTGCATAGCCTGGCATCCTCCGGACTCTTGATATTTGAGGGATGACAATATGTAAACTAGCTTCCCTCGTTCTTTCCCAAGGAGAGTAGACTTTATCTATTACCTGTGAATCTCACCTCCATATCAAATGGATAAAAAAGTCATCCTTACCATAGTGTACTTGGTAGCCTCTTAAATATGACGAAGACAAAACAGGTACAGAAGCCTGAGGGCTATGATCCCGGTGCTGGGCTTTTGGGTTTAAGCTCAATTAGACTTGCTTGAATGTTGTAAGTGAGTAATCAGTCATAATGAATCCCCATCACCATGAGGCAGCTACACCAACCCTGTGTTCTGTTACTAATTACCCGAGAGACATCTGGGCCATGTCAGAAGGAATTAATAAACTAAGAATTCTGGAACTCTAAATTGAGACTTAGGAGTTTCAGCGTGTTCTCAGTGTCATGTTCCGTTGACAATTTGAAAGGAAACACAAGACAATTTGGAAGACACCAAGCCTTAGTGTTAGTGGTGATTTGTCTGGTACAAGGCTGGCCTGAACTGGGCTACACCCAGGTACACGATCGGGGGGAACGATGCAGAAATATCTCTGCTTTGGTATTTGCTTCCACTTTATCAGGAAATTAACTTGGAGACTGTTTATCATACAAATGGTCTCTGTCCTTGAGCCAGGTACAGAGAAGCCCTCCTGCTCTCCCAAACTATTTCTTTGTTCTCCTACTGCCATCCTTTTCCATCTCATCTTGTCCAGCACCAGCATGCTCAGTAGCATGTAGTAAAGGTCAGGAATGGCCGGGCACTGCAGTCCCTTCCATTCTGGAAGTGCAGTGCCCACCAGAGCTGGTTGCATAATGAATATGATCTGAAATGAATGATTCTCAAAATGTGTCCTTCTTGGAATGATGGCTGACCCTAGAGGAAAGGGTGATTGAGACAAAACAAACAAACAAACAAAAAAAACACTGTTTTCTTCCTTTCTAAGTCTTCCTCAGTCACCTCTCCAGACATCCTATTTCCAGAAGTCAAATGTTAGACAATGCATAAATAATCCATGCCTTCTGCGTAAGAGACTTGCAATTGTGTGCCCCACGAGTGGCATTTGAATAAAGGATAAAGCTACATGGTAGCTGGCCTTTAGTCTGACGTTCACACTTGGGTAGTAACAATGGCAGCTGCCAAATTTTGAAAACTTTACGACATACCATTCAGTCCTGTGAGGTAGGTACGATTATCATTATTCTCTACTTTTCCCAGTGGAGAAAAATGAAATTTAGAGAATTGAAATGACTTGGTCATGATTACATAGGTAGTTGCTGGCAGAGATGGACTGGATCTATATTGTTGGACTCCAGAGCCCTTAACTTATAACCATTAGTTTATACCATGTCCACCAAGATACCTATTCTTAAAATAAAATAAAAATCATTTGAATTCTTTATGGTTAATTGATGGGGGTTTTTTTGTTTCTTTGTTTTTGTTTTATATTTTTTAATCTATTTAAGACCAAAAAAATGATCCAGTCTTTTAAAAGTATGTTCTGAAGGCACTTATTTATAGAGGACCTGACCACAGTTGGGTCAGGTTTCAAAGAACATGCTAGAAGGAGACAGTCTATAAGATTCAAGAATGGGGCAGATAACATTGGAGCTTTTGACCACAATTCAGAAAAAAAAAAAAAAAGGAAACTGTTGCTGATCCTTAAAAACAAGTCCTCCAGTGAATGTGAACCTACTGAGGGCTTGTTTGCACTATTTTTAGAACCTCAACTACCAGGAAACCTACTGCATTATCAGAACTAGGTTGATTGCTAGTGTCAACATTACAAACTATTTGCAACTGCAAATTTACCTGACAAATGGCATCCGTGCCCGGTGGTATTTTTCAGCCTCAATAGGTGTCTAATGAGAACCCTCTATCCAGTGCTAGTGAAGCCAAAGCCAGCATTCCTATTTACAGCTGTCTCTAGTTCTGTGGACATTGTCTACAATGGACTGTTCTACAGTTACATTCCGATATGTAATTTCA